TATATATATATATATATATATATATATATGTGTATGTCTGGCAGTGCCATTATATATCCGCGTCACCCCACAGTCGAACTGATGTCTCAATTCAATTCATATATAATCTGACACCACAAATAATTAATACTATATATATATATATATATATATATAGTTGCTAGCTGTTTTCTCTCATTTATTTGACTATTTTGTTCAAATGTTGACCCGGCCGCCAGATTTAGAGTTAGACATCTTATTATTGCTCAATCATTTGCATGTGAAATTACTTTTATATTTTTTTTAATTAATAACAGAGTGTATAATTTCTTTTATTGTACGTAATATATTAATTTAATTTGTTCTTTTGTTGTCCTAATTAATTATTCCTTTTCATTTTTTACAGTACTACATGCAGATACAAATATGGCAATTTATTTATTTAATTTGCTCTAATATTTAGTGTGTATGACAACACACATATCAACACTTTGACCATTATTATTATATGTTATTATAAGCTAAAAATATAGAGCAGCTATTCGTGGCATGTGCTACTAGCCTAGCAGCGGTTCGCAGTAGTACTACTGTGTGCCTAGCTGTGCCAGGACACATTTTGCACGCGTTGCACCCCCAAAATTAAAAAATTAAGAGAGTGTAGTGCATATTCTTATTTTTTTTTCTTAATTGAAATATTATATTACATAAATTAAAATATCATTAATTATTTATATTAAAAAAATAAAATAAAATACCAAAATTCATAATTTTTCATTATCTATAAATAAAAACCACATTTGATAAGTTTTTGAACACAACTAATTTTTTGTTTTTTCGTAATTATTTTATTATACTGGCATATAATGAACATGTTACATAATAAGATGAATATGTTTTCAAATAAGATGAACATGTTACAGATTGCATATTGAAAATAATACATATTCATCTTATTTCATAACATGTTCATCTTATTCTATAACATGTTCATTTTATTATGTATGTAACGTGTTCAGCTTATTCTATAACACGTTCATTTTATTATGTAACATGTTCATTTTATTCTATAACATGTTCATTTTATTATGTAACATGTTCATCTTATTTTAGAATATGTTCATCTAAATTTCATCTGTGAAAATGTAACATTTTCATATTATTCTATGACATGTTCATCTTACTCTATAACATGTTCATCTTACTATGTATCATATTCATCTAATTATAGAATAATCTTCTAATAAGATAAATTAATTGTAAAAAATGATAAATTAATTGTACGTATTCCAAAAAATATCAAATGTGGTCTCTATTTGTAGAGAATGAAAAATTATGAATTTTGGTATTTTTATTTTTAATTTTTGATACAAAATATGAATGATAATTTAATTTATATAATATGATAAATGAAATTCATTACCTAATAAAAATGGGACACGTGTCTCATTAAAAAAAAAACACTTACCTCCTTACCTCTCACGCGCCTTTAGAAGAGATGTAATTCAAGGCCCTGACACACCTAACAAGGTGTGTCAGGGCACACCTAAGTATTTGCCACAAGGTTCGTGTATGATCAGTACTTGACACTCCTATTAAATTAGGAAATATAATATAAAATCATTCCACCAAACAAATTAAATATATATATATATATATATATATATATATATATATATATATATATCTAGTGTATGTATAATGCTGCCAAAAATCCATATAAAAAGAAAATACAATATTGCAATATTATTTTTTATTACTTTCATATAATATTAGAGAAAGAAATTGAGTTTTAAAATTTTAAATTACGGTAACATAGAAATAAATGTGACATTAATTGATTAACTAGTACAACGTCCGTGTATTACACGGGTGCTTGCTAATTATTTTTCTTAAAATCTAAAATTAATGAGAAAAAATAATTGAAAATTTAAATAACTTTAATAAAAAATATATATATTATTAT